AGTCAGCTCTCCCTAAGCAGCTTATTTTTGTTTACCACAATCATAACTTCTCCATATCCTCTTGTTAGTCAGCTCTTCCCTAAGCAGCAATTTTGGTCACCACAATCAAAGTATGTCCACATATTCCTTGACAGATTCAACCTCTTGCATCTTGAGTACCTCAAATTCTCTCTCAAGTTTAAGACTTCATGTTGCGAGTCTGGCTACTCCCTCTAAACTCCTCCTTGAGGATGTCCCAAGTTTGTTTAGGGGTCTCACCGCCATGATTCTAGAGAAACTTGGTTGCACAGCCGAGTGTATACAACAAAGCTCTTAGAGCCTGGCTCTCTCCCTTCATGGATTCTAATTTGGTTCAACGTGGGTTGGGTCAAGTTGGGGACTGCTTCTCCTCCTCCACATTTTCCCAAACCATGGCCTCTCAAGTAGTTTTCATCTTGACAGCCCAAACATGGTACTGGGCACCATTAAGAATAGGAGGAGAAAGTGGGGGTTGATTTGATGCCATGAGGAATCTTCACTTATGTGTTTTTTTGGTCCTGAAAGATCAAGATTAGCTCTGATACCAATTGTAGGTTTTTTAGTCTGATTTTGCTAAGAGAAAGATGTTAAGATGCATGAAAGAGAGAGTTGAAAGGAAGGAAAAATTAGTGTCAAAGTTTGCTCTGTTTTTGTTCTAAACAGAGAAATATAAGACAAGTTTTCATCACTGTTACAACTACTCTACAGTGAGACCCTTTTCAACAAATACAATTAAACAACACTAACTAATACACATTTATAATGACATATGCTAGCATAAATCACCGACTGTCCTCACCTAAACTATCATATATATATTAAAAATACACAAAAAACAACTTGACAGATAGCCTACAACCAACTCAATAGGCGCCAAACATTCAAACTTGAATTGCTAAATAGTTTCTAGCAAAATATCACATACTTTAACACATTCTCCTTGGCTAGTTGTTGGTATTTCTTAAGATTTATGTAGCACTGATGTAATCCTCCTCCGACCGATTTGTTCTTTGGTTAAAATGCAAATAACAACCTCCATCTTGCAAATAAAACCACAAATTCTTCACTATTTCCTAAGAGTCGAGATGGTCAAATAAAATGACACAATACCTTCTGATAAAGTTCTCTCTGAAGAAAAATCCTGCCTTGCATAAATCTCTTCAAGTTATTAACATTGAATTTAAATATGAAAAGTGGGTGTGTCTATGTCTCAATATAGAAGTTCTCGGAAGATTTCAATAAATTGATGTTCAAGTATTTCAAGAAAAAAGCCTGCCGAATGAAGGGAAAAGTAAAGTTTCCTTTAAAACACTGCCTATAGCCAAAACAGTAGCATTAGACCCTGGGAACCATGATCCATTGTCAATGGAGACCTTGGGAAGAGATTCTCTCTGGCACATTGTTATTGAAGTTTGGTACCACTGATAGGCCGTTCGGAGACTAAGCAGGAATATTTGCCATTCAGGTTTGTTATGCCTGAAAAGTAAGGGCTGACGTGGGAAGTCACGTGAAGAGTGACTTGCTCTCCTCCAGAGTAACAAGCACACGTCAGGCCTGCCAAACGATGTGAGGCTCCCAACGCGTCCCTTTCCCCTGCAATAAACATGCAAAATCAGCTTGGAAGAGAGCAATGGGATGTAAAGCCGGATTATATCCTGACAATCACACCAACCCATGGATTTAATGATGATTACACGCTTCAGTTTGATATAAAATGAAGAAGACCCCTTCATTAAGGGGATTCGGCCATTTTTCACTGAAAACTCTCTCTCCTATAAACAACACATTTACTTTTTCTAAATCTTTTGTAAGTCAGTCCTCTGTTGCGACCTGACCCACACTATCAATATCAATAACAATCAGTGACTAGGACTTGCTACCTTGCATCCAACCACTTTAAAACTCTCATAGCATTTATTTCGCATTCTATATTCGTATTCACTTGTGCTTCTTGCCAATCAACTCTAGCCACGTGACAATTAGTTGTGCCAAAACCAAGCATCACCAGGGTTCATTGTAAAATATCAAACGATCTCAAGGTACATGCTGTATCTACTAGTTGTGCATCCTACGATGGTATCAATTGGATGCTGAGACTAGCTTTCACGACATAACGCGCTGGTAGTTAGGGGTATAGTTTCACCGGCAAAAGATCAGTCGAAAGGCAAAAATGGAGGCCCGCCCATTGATAAAACCATAACATGCAAAAGATTGTTGACTTATATTTTTTGGATTGGAAGAGTCTTAGGGGAGGCTTTGGAGCTATATCAGAAGATGAAACTGTAAGAAAAGGTGAAGGCTACCTAGCTTTCACCATTCTTATACATTGATTACATTCTTTAATAATATCTTGATTAATTTTATGGTCAGGATTTGGTGAGAAATGGAAAAAAATTGTTGCATTTGGCTTCAAATACTTGCTTCTGTAGCAAGTTAAGGTGTAAAAGAGAGCATGCGCAAAGCTTAGAGTGGTGGAGAGTTTCTAACTCATGTATGGCTTCTCATGGCACATTTTGGCTTAATTGATCACTTTGGACAGCCAAATACAAGAAATAGTTGGTTCATTCCAAGTAATTAATCAACCAAGTGCCTCAAAAATATTTCTTAGTTGTTTTTACTTCATCGAAACCCAGAGACCTTTCTATAATCATCAAAATAAATTTAATTACTTCAATTGTTGTATTAATATTAGAATTTATTTGATGTCTCACCATCTATATCACCATTTGGATGAGTTGAATGATCGGCTACTATAAAATAAACCATATTATCTCTCTCCTAATACTTCATGATATAAGTAATGATATAGTAAGGGAAATATTTTGGCCCCAACTATTTTCCTCGTTAGTCCCCATCTTGAATTTTAAGTGCAGGAAGAAGTTGTAATAAAAATTCTTCTCTTCTCTTCTTCTTCGTACTTTTACTTCAAAGTTTTATATTTGTTGTTATAAAAGGTTCAGTATATTTACACAATCACAATTAGCATAACAACGGAAGTTTCTTAATAGGATTCTGTGATACCGAGTGTTTTGTTTTGATGTGTATAAAAGCCGGATTTCTCTTATGTTAAAATGCCAATTAGAATTGATTACTTGATTGTAAGAGTATTGAAATTGTCATTCTATAACACATTAAATCTGTAATGTGTGTAATCAACTATTGATTGATTTTGTTTCATGCGTTAATTTTTATATTTGATTTATTAATATTTATTTCCAATTAACATAAATTTATAACATAAAATATAAAGCTTTGCAATTAAATGTATGGAAGAAAACCCTATGGGGTTGGTCCTGATGGTCAAGGATTCTGCTCCCTTTATTGACTTTCTGGTTAAACCACGTTGTGACTTACTTGGTCCTTTGGATTTGTAAGGTTTCAATGGATCTCGAAAATTAATTGAGGTTGACAAGCTATCCCAAACATCTCGATTACCATATCTATATATATTATATCTATATAGATTATTATATATATTTTTATATATAATCATTATATATATATATATATATATAATAATTATAATCCTCATTCAAAATTGAAGATGAGGGTTAAACATTCCCATTATATATGCTCATGGATCGAGTGCTTGTTTGGCTTTCTGTTTAAGAAATATTCCAATTATTAAGTGGAATGTTTTGAACAAATGCTAGAGATAATTTTAGGAGATCCGTAGATCAAGTTTCGATGATTTCATGGTCTCTTGAACTTGAATAGTGTAATAAAAGTGTGATGGGTTCAAACACCTAGCCACATAAAGGGTTGTGGGTTCAGTTGAACTCACCCAACTTTTTAAAATTTTCAAAAAAGTATTAATATTTTATGAATTTTATAATTTTAACCCCACTTAATTTCATATTGACCTCTTAAATTATTAATTAACAGTTTTTTAACTTTTCTTTCTTCTTCATTTCCTCTCCTTTTTTCTCATATTATATTTTTCCTTTGGTTAAAAACTCAAGAAAGGCCACTCCTTTGGATTACAAGGTAAGATGATGCTCATTTTATTTTTATTTTTTTTTACTAAAAATTCTTTTCTTTTAGCTTTCTTAATTGATGAAAAATCATGAGCTATGAGTTTTTGCTGAGTTTAATGAATGAGTTTGAAACTAGAAGATTAAATTACTAGATTTTAATGTGGGTTTTGATTTAATCTTATTTATGTTGATGTATGAGTTAATTAGTTGTTGTTTTAAGTTGAGTTTGATAATTTTTTGTTAGTTCTTGAGTTAATTTTGAATAGTTTAAAGAATTAATGAAACCGTAAGTTGTAGATATTTGGGGATTATGCAAAGTTTTCAGAATATGAAAAAACGTTGAGGACAATTGTAGAATTGATAATTTAGTATGTATAACTTTTAAAAGTACATTTTTTACGCTTATTACTTCAGTATATATTTTATTGTAAATTTATCAATTTTAATGTTTTGAACTTGACTCAGAATCCTGACTACGTCATCCCTAGATGGGTTTGTCACTTCTACTATCTCTAGCAAATGAGAGCCCGAGTAAGTTGATAAACCTTTGGTTCTCCTAACTAAGATGATGTGTTCTTGGTGAATGATATTTGTGTGCGGTTAAAAAAAGATCTGTGTGGCGTTTGTTCAAAGCAAACAATCTCTGCTTGGTTTGATATGACCTCTAACGGTAAAAATTGCCTATAATATAATAGGCTTGTAGTGGGGCTCTTCTGAATAAAGTAACCACCCAAAGCATATGCTAACATACTGTTCATATCATTAGCCTCAGTCACTCAATATCTATTACTATTTCCTGAATATTCAATTTATGAATGCATGGTTTTTTTCATCAATGTTTTCAGTGTTATAAGCGAGATACTTTTGTTTGGATTAAGAGAAAATGAACGAGAATAAAGAGAACCATAGAGATAATGAATAAAGAAAATCGAAATAAACCATATTAGCTTGCTCAAATAAGCTTATGTGACAAGTAATGGAAAAGATGAAAATCATGTTCTCACATGGAAGAAGAGACAGAAAATTTATTGGTGGGAGAATTACAAACTAAATAGAGGAGAATAGAAAATACCAGGACGAAAGAAGCAATGACATCAACAGAATGGTATTTGTCCCAGAGTGGCATTTCAATCCTAGAATAGATAGAAGAAAATTAGAAAAACAATGATTAAATTTACACACAGGATATATAGTTAAACAAGGCAAAGCTATAAAAACTCACCCATCGAATTTTCACAATATTATTATTTTGTTTTCCAGTTGGACGAGTGATGGTTCCTTTCTTACCAAAGGATTCTTCGATTTGAACGACACAATCCTCTTTCACATTGGTCAAGGTCAATTCCTTCAAGAAGGTCACATTCTTCAACGCCTCAATCACAAAATTCTCTGTCATATTGGTCAAGGTCAATTCCTTCAGGGAGGTCACATTCTTCAACGCCACAATCTTCTTTAGTTTATGGCAATCTCTCAGTTCCAAAGATTTCAGCAATGGCATCGCTTGTTCATTGATTTGCCAGTCTCTCAGTTCCTTCAGCTTCCATAACTTCAGGACGCAGAGTTCCGGAAAATCATCCCTTTTACACGTCATTTGTTTCCCCTGGTAGGAATCCGCAAAAAGCCTGAGGACCTTCAACTGCTTCAGCTGCCCTAGTGTGGCAATCGAATCTTCATTTAGTCGTGTCAATGACAAGGTAAGGATTCTGAGATTTGGGGGAGGTTGGATTGACTTTTGTAACTTGCCGACCAAATACATCTCCTTCAGCTCCTCGTGACTCTTCAGCGATCCCAAATCGAGGTCAGAAGGTTCATCATTATCATTTATTGTTCTCAACCTTAAGGAACGAAGAGTGGTCCGTTCAAGAATCCATTCGGTTATGATCTTGAGTGATTTTGTGTGGGCTGTCAGCCCCACTTTCCGAAGACACTTCAGTTCATTCCACCATTCACGTTTCGGGCACTCAGTCTCGCGGATGAAAAGACCCCACAAAGTCAGAAGCTTGCTTAAAGAACCATGCTTTAGACTCTTTAGAGTCGACAATGGAAAACTAATCTCGTTGAGGTATAGATGCCGTAGATGCTTTGCTTCCAAGATGCCCTTAGGAAGAGTTGTGATATTAGTGTTTTTGACATCTATAATCTGCAGGCAGGGAAGATCACCAACTGATGTGGGGATTGAGTCCACAAAGGTCTTTCTAAGGCCTATGTGCCGAAGAAGAAGGAGTTTTCCTAGTAATTTAGGAAGAACTGGTTTGTATACACCTTCAAGATCAAGCACTCTCAGCACTTGAAATCCTTGTTTAATGATGACATTATTCAGAAAATTGCCTACACTCTCTGAAGTTTTGCCTCCCTTTTGGGTGTTGCAAGATATATATGAATGTAGATTTTTAAACCAATCATCCAAAGGAGTGCCGTCCTGGATATCCCAATGTTCTGCAAGCCTCCGGATGCATGAGATGGAGGAAGAATTTTTTCCTTTATGGAGGTAGAAAAATTCCATCTGCTCAGCCTTTTCAATGAATGTACTATACAAAGTTTTCGGCAGACGACAAGTTTTAGGGCTGTCATCTAATCTGCGTTTTGTTACTTCAATCAAGTTCCTTTGCACCAGTTCGTCAAAATCACTCTTCACCTGATCTTCAGGGGCCATTTCTGTCACTTCCCCTGGTATTCCTAATCCTTCAGGAGTCATTTCTGTCACTTCCCCTGGTGTTCCTAATCCTTCAGGAGTCATTTCTGTCCCTTCCCTTGGTGTTCCCAATCCTTCAGCAATCCATAAATGAAACAACCTCCTTACAGGGATCTCATCCGATTTGGGGAAAAGATATAAGTAATTTACTAATGCTTTCAATCGGGGAGGTAGATACTTATAGCTCAAAGTCCAGATATTTTTATTATCCTGTTTCTCCCAGGTAGTACGTTGTTCTGTATATTCTTCTTCATCAGAAGCTTCCTCTTGTTTTTCAGTATCTTCAACACTTCTTTCTTTTATGATTTCTCCTTTCATTTTCTTCTCAATCTCCGTGAACCATTTATAATAGTCCATGTCTTTTTTAGTACCGGACAATAAACCTCCCAGCACATGTATTGCAAGAGGTTGTCCGCGACAACATTTCCAGAATTTTTCCTTGAGATCCGACTCTTTATCTTCCAAACTTCTATCTCCTCGCAACTTCTTCAAGATCAACTTCCAAGAATCATCTGCATTCAGTGTTTTTAGCTCCAGAATATTAATTGATGGACTGAAAATGCGGGCTATAAAAGCGTCAGAGGTATTTATGATCACCCTGCTACCATTTGATTAGCCTTGTGAACAGATCTTCTGGAGATCATACCAAGCAGCGGGTAGGTCGAGATTATCCAAGACAAGCAGGAACTTCTTCTGAGACAAGAAATTAGTGAGCTCAGCTTCCAAGTTTTCATTTGAGGACAATTTCTTTGCATCCGAATCCTTCGTAACCTGCTGCCACATCTCAATCAAGATACTTCTCTCGTCATAATCATGAGAAATGTTAATCCAGGCTCGGCAAGTAAAAGTCCGCTGTATATATGTGTTTTTGAAAACAGTCTTCACTACAGTTGACTTGCCTGAGCCTACCTCGCCCACCAGTGCGATTAAATTCTTGTCACTGGGAAGAAGAGTTAGTTTAGCTAACTCCAGTATTTTATCCTTTTTTACTCCAATAATGTCGGTTTCCTTGTTCAAATAATCAAAAGCTTCCTTCAGACGCCCTGAAACTTCTGTTTCATTGACAACAAGAGCCTCCTTAGCAGGAACTGTTTTTTCGATTGCAACAGAAACCTCCTCAGCTGAAATTTCTCTTTTAATTTTAATAGAAGCCTGGCTTTCATGTTCATCAATGGATGAAATTCCAGCTCCAACATCCTTGCTTCTAGCATACAGCGATAGATCTCTTCCGAAGAATCTTATATCTGGATACCGTTCTGCATCAGCTTCAGGGAAACTGAAAATCACCCGGCTACCGTTTGATGAATTCGGAAGAGCAAACTTGATAATCTCCCAAAGATCCGGTGTCCGAACATCAATTAGTACTACTAGGTACTTCTTCTTGATTAAGAAGTCATGGAGGTCTTGTTGCAGTGAATCAGAATGCTCCTCCGTTCTCTCAGATTTTTCTGTAACTTTTTTAAATATATCATGGAGAAGTAGTCGTTTGTCAAACTCTTGGTGAACATGAACCCAAGCACGACAATCAAAATGATTCTTGACTTTCTCATCTTTGTAAATCTTGAGCAACGTTATTCTCTTAGAATCATACTCTACCACTGAAATTTGAAAAGGTGAAGCTTCTCCACTGAGGATTAGTTCTTGTAAGTCTTCCATCCCGTCCTCCGAAGGGAAAGTTCTACTTTTCTTATCAGAATAACCTTTGGAAATGTGGTTAGCCTCTTCTGCTTTTCTAAAACTAATGGATCCAATTAGAATTTTCTTTAGTATAGGCTCCTTGTTTTGATTCCCCAATAATTTTTTTAATTGGGTCGAGAAACGAGTTTTCTCATACTTCAAATGCACGTAAGGCAATGCCTTCTCGTTCTGAATTGATGTTGTTACGTGGAATTTGTCAATGGCATCTTCTACCATGTAAACAGCTTCCATAAACCCAGGATCCAAGACGCCCCTTGAATCACTTTTCCGGAATTCCTGTACCTCTGATAGTTTGTTAATGAACTGGTGGAGTTGTGGGAGCAGTGGATCAAAGTTTGCCTCGCCATGAACCAGACTATTTAGTTTTTCCTTCACATGCAAAATAGTTGTGTCTACTGCCATGGATTCTGAACCTCCTCTGTTTCTTTTTCTGAAAAAAATTAAGCAACCACTTTCATGAGCTTCCGTAGATGAAGAAGACAAACAGAAGAACAGAATGAAAGACAAGGAAAAGAAAAATCAAAGAAACAAGTTCAATTTATATAGTGAGTGATATGTAACCTAATCAAAGTTTGTGCCAAAGAAGTAATAATAAAAGAAAACATTATGCACTATAAAATGATTTCAATACCCTACAGAAACATAAGTGTGGTAGAAAGTTAGAGAGTGAACTCAAAGGAAGCTGTTAGAGACTAAGAATGAGGGGCACACATAGTAAACAAAACCTTATACACGAGAAATTTTGAAGCAGAAAGATTAAGACCTAGAAGGAGAAATATTTGTGTGTGACAACAAAGGAGAAAGAGAAAATTAAAGGATTTTGAAAAAAAGTATACATACATATACACTATAACTCCTTTGATAGTGACTTCTAGTGAGTGTTTAGTTCGGGGTCATAAAAGATAACACCGGTAATTTATCTTTTAATCCGGTTATTACCACCTTTGGGTGTCAAGTAATAAAATATTATGGTAATTGACCAATACCAATAGTGATTACTGTAGGTAATATTGGGGCAATTCGATTACGATCTAAAATTGTGTTATTTTTTTATTACTGAGGCGATCCACTATTCATACCAATTTTATCCTTAATTAAAGAAACATTTTGGACACAAATGCCCTCATATGTTTATTAAATAACAATTAGCCTAAATGTGTGAAATGACTATTGTAACCTCATATATTAATTTTTTAGACAGAAATATCCTCACTATTTACATGAATAATACCCAAAATACCCCTAGCCACCCAAGATGACTATCAATCGTTGACCATCATTGTCGAAACTGTGCACAGACGGTCAGATCTAGCCGAACCTGCACCGATCTAGCCAGAAATGGCCAGATGGTCGTGGATCGAACCAAAAACAACCGGATCCATTTTGGCCGTTTTCGACCAGATCTATGGCTAGATCTGATCGGTCTTGTGTTGTTTTGTGACTGCCAGCGACGACCGGCAGTGGTGGCTAGTGGCCAACAACCTTCTTGGGTGGTTGGGTGTATTTTTTAAAATTTTAAACTTTTATTATTAAGGTGTTTTAACTAAATTCTCAAATGTACGAGGTTAAAAGTAATGCTCTAAATAATAATAATAATATTAAAAAGAAAGGCAATTTAGTAAAAACCTTTTTCGATAATATTTTTTTCCTCTTAACCGTACATATTAATTATTTATATTCACCAATCTAATTAAACATTCAAGTGTAATCTATCTCAGTGGTAATCTTACCCTTTTAGTAATAAAAAAATTATTCAAACCAAACACTAAGCTAAGGTAAAGAAAACTTACTAGGATATATGGTACAGAATTTGAGTTTGAAGTAGAATAGAGTTATTATCTTATTAGGAAAATAATCATGAAATCATTATTAATTAGGGAAAGGCAAGTTATAAATTATTATTTAATTAATTAGAAATTTTAAATTAAAGCGCAAAAAAGTTTGACGTGACTTTTAATATAAAAAAATATTACTCTTCCCAAATGATATCTTAAGGGAGCGTTTGGTTACTTATTTCTATTCATATTCTCAATCCTACTCCCCAAAAAATGTTTGGCACATTATTTGAGAAATATTAGTCTATTTTTTTAATTACCTTTAGACCTTTTAAGTTTATTAACTTCATAAATACCCCAAAAAAATTTTAAATTAATAAAAACACCCCCACCCACCCATACTTACCAAATTCCTGCAACTATCATCGGTGGTAGCCGGAATCTGTCACAACGGCCTACACTACCACCGGAAAAGGCTAGAAAGAAATGGCCATCGTTGACAGGCAACGACGGCCATATCTTTGATCGTCACTGACGGCCAAAAATGGACTTTTTCGGCTGTCGATCTAGCCTTTTCCGGTCAGATCTGTGGTGAATCTGACCGGAAAAAGCCATATCGATGCCCTACTCGCCAGATCCTACTGGTCTGTGGTGTAACGCAATTTTTCGGCCAGATTTTAGCAGTGGTGGCCGGAATCTGGCTCTACGGGTGGTGGGGTGTTTTTGTCATATTATAAAATTTTATATATTTGGGTGTTTAGTTAAATTAGCAAACCTATGAGGTTTTTTATAAAGTTTTAAATTTTATCTCGTAATATTCCCCTATTCAAATACTCAATATTATTCACAAAATCCTACCTAAAATAATAAAACAAACGAACCCTTAAATTTCTCATCTCAAGTGATGTGTTGTCTTCTGTGGCTTAGAGATGTTAGATGATATGTCAATACCGATTTGGGATTTTATTTGCGAATAATAATAATACTCAAACCAAAATGACTATTATACTCGCGTATAGCAATTCTATTTTATTTTTTTCTAGTTCCAATCCACCCAATAATTGTGCAACATTGATATATAATAAGAAATGATAAAGATTGTATAAGATTAAGTGATGATAGGAATATATGGTTTGTAATATTAATTGTTATAGGATCCCTTACCTTGCTCTCTGTCTTTTATGCAATCGAAAATCTCCAAAGCAAAGCTAGTAGATTATTACTTCTCTTCTCGTTAATTTGCATGAATCCCAAAACCGTAGCTACACGATTGGATTGAAATGTTAAGAATTTCCTCAACTAAAAGGGCGTACAGGAAATCTCAAAACAAATTAACTAATAATCTTCAGGATTTGTAAGAGAAGATGACTTGCCTGAAAACTCCACCGGAGAGCTAATTGATCCTGTTGCTTCAAATGTTTAGCAATGGCTTCTTGGTGAAACAAAACTGTTGAGTTTTTTGTTTTTTGTTTAAAGTAAGGCTCTAATATCAAAGTTAGGGCCTTATTAACTATAATTAATTTTGGTAAACATTGTAATTATATTAACTATAAATGTGGATCTCGTGGTTTGGTAGATCCAAGATTATGTGCATAGCTTTTCAATTTTCCCAATACAAGAATATGATGCTAATAGTGGAAAGCAAGTAAATGAATAGACAAAAGCAAAATGTAGACAAAGTCTTGTTGGAATGTTGGAGGGCTTTTTTGAGGATTAACAATTACTCAAAGAATATCACTTTAACTTGGTTCTATGTATATTTTGGACTTTAGGACCTTGAGAAAATTGAATACTTAATGAAATAAGAATTGTAAATCAAAGTAAAAACCAAATGGGCTAATCTGTTCATTTCATAATTTGTGGTATGTACTTCATTTGTGTCAAAAATCATAAACACATACCTTATATTCAGACTTGCAAAAAATATCTAGAATATCACGAAGAACTCAAAGCTTGAGCGACTCTATTCCATACTCATTGCTTTAGATTAGTCTATATTCATCTTATAAAATAAACACTTCTGTGCTGTCACTCTCTCTCTACTGTGCTTGCCCACCACGTTTTGTAAATTGATCAGGAAGCTTCCTGAATTAGTTATGTAAATGTGTATAAATCAATTGGTTTGTAAGATGAACACTATCTTCCATAATACAAGCTTAATATTCTTGCGTCTCTCGCTGGGCACTCTTTTCTCTTCTCCACTCTGCTTTCTCTTTTTCTCACGAGGAGAAAGAAGAGCAGATTGGTTGTCACCCAAGCTCGGATTCAGAAGAGAAAGTGGAGGAGACATGAACTGAAATTTTTCTCTCTTTTCAACTCTCTCTTTCATGCATGTTAACCTTCTTTCTCTTAGCACAATCAGACTCAAAAACCTACATGTTATATATACGAAATGAGTCAACATGCATATGGTCACGAAGAAATTTCCCAATCTAGAGTTACAAAATGGGCTTGAAGGTTAAGTTCCAAGCTGCTTCGCGCTTGGACTTCATCACATACAAATCATAAATCCAAAAGCATGCAAGGGATCTGATGCAAAGGAGTAGAAGACAAGAAAATTAGGGGAAAAAACAAAAGAAAAATAATAAAAAACTTTAAAAGATGTTAGGGGAAAAATGGGTTGATTGCTCCTGGGAACAGAAAACATATATGCAGAGAATCATCATCTTTACTGCTTTATATCGTATTAGTTTCCTTTAATTTGTACGATCTTACTTTTATATAAGCTTTAGCTTATTTTCAACAAGAATTAGACGTTTTAACTCATTTTCAAGCAACAAGAAGTATGCTTTAATTGATACTCAAGCAAGATTTAAATTTTTGCAGGCTATATACGCGGCTGCCCTTTGTATATGAATAAACTATCTAGTGCTACTTGCAGAAGCAGTATCGCCCGTTAGTGTTGCTCCCAAGTAAGTATAATTTACTTCTTAATTTGTTTCTTGTTTGACTTATTTACCTCATTTACTTTTCTGATATTTTGTAACACTCCGCAGTTTGATACATTGGGAAAAGAGGACAGCCATGGATATATTTTCTTCAAGCTGGTTGAGAAAAGTGTGGAAAGAATACGATGTGCGATTTACTGTTATGCTTAGCCTTGTTCTCCAAGTAGTATTGATCTTTTTGGGTAATCGCAGGAAGTACGATTACAAAGTTTGGATAAAATTTTTTGTGTGGTGTGCCTATCTAGCTGCAGACTCCGTGGCAACTGTTGCCCTTGGTGTACTCTCAAATAACCTTGGAGATTTGTCGAGTGGAGCAGCTGAAGTTTCGGATGCCACCATTCAACTAACTGCATTCTGGGCACCATTTCTCCTTCTACACTTGGGTGGCCCCGACGCCGTTACTGCTTACTCCTTAGAAGACAATGAGTTGTGGTTGAGGCACCTTCTTCAAGTAATTGTTCAAACAGGAGTGTCAGTCTATGTGATGTACATGGCATGGACACGCTCCCACCTTTCATTTCTATCTCTTCTAATGTTTTTTGCAGGGCTGATCAAGTATGGAGATAGGACATGGGCACTCAGGTCGGCAAGCAGCGAAAAACTCAGAGAGTCCTCGCTAAAGCACCAAACTGTCCGCAGAGACTTTCATCAGCTTTACAGGGATTTCAAAATCAAGGTCAGTGAGGGATACATAGTGGAGAAAGAAACGTGTGTAGAAATGGTTAATCGGCGAGTTCAGCCTGAAGTTGAAAACCAACCATACTCCTTAGTTCAAGCCTATGGGATAGACCTAACCAAACGTCTTTTCTTAGATTCTACATTAACTGTTAGAGAAAGAAAAGAAACCCAGTCCATTTTCAAACAATCTTCTTTCAAAAGTGCTTTTCAAGTAGTTGAAATAGAGCTTTCATTGATCTATGATTTGATGTACACCAAGGCACCTCTTCTCTATACTCCTTTGGGTCTATGCCTGCGTCTCCTCACTTTCTTTCTTACCTCTATAACGTTGCTTCTATTCACTTTCCTTGTCGAGAAGCACAGCTTCACTAAAGCTGATCTCCTCATAACATTCTTCTTGCTAGTTGGTGGTATTTCTCTCGAGATTTATGCAGCACTGATGTTAGTCTTCTCTGACCGTTTTTTTCTTTGGTTAAATATGCAAAAAAAAACTTCGACCATCTTTCAAACCATAAATTCTTTACCACTTCCTCAGATTCGGAGATGGTCAAATAAAATGACACAGTACAGTCTGATAAAGTTCTCTCTGAAAGAAAAACCCATGCCTTGCAGAGATCTCTTCAAGTTATTAAACATTGAATTTAAGATTGAAAAGTGGTGGTCTATGTCTCAGACACAAGTCTCGGAAGATTTAAAAAAACTGATATTCAGGTATTTCAAGAAAAAAGCTGCCCGAATGGAAGAGAAAAGTAAAGTGTTCATAAAAATACTGCCTACAGCCAAAGCAGTAGCACGAGCATCTGAGGATCTGGAAAGAGGTGATCCAATTATCAATGAAGACATTGGGAAGAGAATTCTCTTCTGGCACATTGTTACAGAAGTTTGGTACAACTTAGACGGAGGCAATTCGGAGACTAAGCAGGAATTTGTTCCCATTAAGGTTCATTGTAAATTAATCAAACAAATCTCAAGATATATGCTGTATCTACTGGTTGTGCATCCTGCAATGGTATCAATTGGATTGGCTCAGACTAGCTTTCAGGACATAAGTGCTGTTGTTAGGGATATAGCTTCACCGGCAAGAGGAAAAAGCGATAAACGAGGCCGGAAGAGGAATATTGATAAAACCGCAGCATCCAAAAGATTGGCCGACTCGTGTTTTTTGGGATTGGAAGGAGTCTTAGGGGAGGCATTGGAGCATATTCAGAAGATGACACATGAAGAAAAGGTATAGACTAGTTACCTTTAACCATTCTAAAATACATTGATTATATTCTTTAATTAATAATCTTTCATTAATGTTATGCTTAGGATTTGGCGGAGAAATGGAACAAAATTGGTTGCATTTGGCTGGAAATACTTGCTTCTGCAGCAAGTAAGTGTAAAGGGAGAGAGCATGGGCAACAGCTTAGAAGTGGTGGAGAGTTTCTAACTCATGCATGGCTTCTCATGGCACATTTTGGCTTAACCGATCACTTTCTACAGCCAAATAAACAAGAAATAGTGAGGCTCATTGCCAAATAATTAATCAACCAAGTGCCCTCAAAAATATTTCTTTGTTGTTTTTACCTCATCGATCACCAGAGACCTTTCTGTAATCATCCAAATAAATTTAATTACTTCAGTTGTTGTATTAATAATTTATAATTGATTCTATGTGTTCACATCTATATCACCATTTGGATAAGGTGAATTGATCGGCTACTATAAAAATAAAAATAAAAACATATTATTTCTCTCGCACATTCATAGGATTACAATGGATTTTATGTTAAAAAGTTTAATTGACATGAGTAAGGGAAGTAAATTTTGAGCCCCAACTATTTTCCTCTTTAGTACCCATCTTCAATGTTAACTGAGGATAGAATTGTAATAAAAAAAACTTAATATTATTCTTCCTTCATACTTTTACTTCCAAGTTTTATATTTTCCGTTATAAAATTAAAAGTATTTATATCAATCAGGATTAACAATAAAACACAAAAGTTCCTCAATAGGAATTTGTGATAAGGTGTTTTGTTTTAATGGGTAAGAAACCAAATTTCTCTTCTATTAAGATGTGATTTAGAAGTGATTACTTGATTGTAAGAGCATTGAGGTTGTGATTCTATAAACAAATTAGTCCACAATTGTATGATAATCTTAGGAGATTGGTAGATCATGTTTCAATAAGTGACATGACTCGTCCCAACTCTCCATATCCAACAGGCTCCGAGTACACCCATGAGACTCGAGTAACTGAGATGTATCATGTGGGAAAGTTGGAAGTTTTAAAACCTGTTTTCTCTTAACAACATAAAACATTTTTCCCATTCTTTCCATCATAAATAAACATGTCTCGAAAATTCAATTTAAAATTTGAAAGGTATCAGGTTTTCATATCTTTTACAATCAAAATATAAAATAACATATGAAAAGAAATCATACTTTAGCAACAGATTCCAAACTTGACATGTTTCACTCAAATGATATGATGTCGTGTGACCCAACCTTGAGTGCAATCACTCATCCCCCTTTGACATTGGGGTGGAAGGGAACAATTTGACAAAAAAGAGTGGCGAGCTAAAACTACTCAGTTAGTGGGTGTTTTGTGAAACATTTTCTAGAAACATCATATCTATGCGATAAATATTCATGTTTTACTAGATCACTTTCCTAATAGTCATTTTACAACATTTAAACTATTTTTCATAGACTAATAACTTTAAGCTAATATCATTTCTGATAACAACATTTAAGGCATGCAATAAATATTGATGTTTTTCAGAAAACATTTGTATAATCATATTTTAAAATCTAAAGCCATTTCTTATGAGCTAGTACAATTCAATATCATAACAAAACTAAAAATGCTTTCTGAAAACTATCTCTCGTATCTAATATCGAAATCTCTCACCACAACTAGTACCCATAGGGATAATCTCTCAATACCTAGTGGGCATCACAGACACAGGTAGAATTAGGAAAATCTCTCAATACTCAACAAGATCTATCATTGTGCAGGGCAGAGCCAATAAATTTCTCTCAAAACCTGGTAGAAAGCTCAATGCCTAGGCAGGGCACTGTAATCTCTCAATACGCATGTAGCCATACACATGCGTAGAGCCAGAAAACTGAATCTCTCAATATGATGTGCGATTTACTATTATGCTTAGCCTTGTTCTCCAAGTAGTATTGATCATTTTGGGTGATCGCCGGAAGTACAATTACAATGTTTGGATAAAATTTTGTGTGTGGTGTGCCTATCTAACTGCAGACTCCGTGGCAACTGTTGCCCTTGGTGTACTCTCAAATAACCTTGGAGATTTTTCTGGTGGAGTAGCTGAAATTTTGGATGCCACCATTCAATTAACTGCATTCTGGGCACCATTTCTCCTTCTACACTTGGGTGGGCCCGACGCCATTACTGCTTACTCCTTAGCAGACAATGCGTTGTGGTTGAGGCACCTTCTTCAAGTAATTGTTCAAACAGGAGTGTTAGTCTATGTTGAGAATATGTCTCAGCTACTGATTTGGCATGATGAGGTGGCTGCTGATTTGGTCAAGGATTGCTGCATAATGGATGGTTGTTGATTTGGTGCTGAAAGTTGTTAAACGTGTGTATTTCCAGATTTAGTCTTTGAAGTAGAGCTGGTCATGTGCTTGTTTTTAGGAATACGTTATCTCAGTAGTGAATAAGTTGTTAGTGGAGTCATGTTCAGTGTTTTTAGCAAGTTTGTTACGTATTTCTGTTACAAAATCCTGTATATATTTGCTGCTGATTCAATAAAGATTGTGGCAGTTTGCAGTCTGTATTAAGCCTTTTTTTGCATTATAGTTGCTCAGATTTTGTTCTTGCACAATTAAGACTACAAATTGGTATAGAGCATTTATTTCTTTAGGGATCTGTGTGACATTTGTGAGTAGTGTTATTTGCAAACACCAAACCAGAAAACAGAAACCTTGATTTAATGGCTTCCAATGCATTCTCTCCAGTTTCTCCACCAGTTTTCACTGGTGAAACTGCACACTATCATACATGGGCAGTTAGAATGTCTGCTTATTTGCAAGCTGTGGACCTCTGGGAGGCAGTCGAGGAAGACTATGAAATTGACCCATTACCTGACAATCCCACTGTGCAGCAAATTAAGGTTCACAAGGAGAGAAGAACTAAGAAGTTCAAGGCCAAATCATGCCTCCATTCAGCAGTGTCTGAAGCATTATTTACCAAGATCATGAACTTGAAGTCAGCTTTTGAAATCTGGCAGTATCTCAGGGAGGAGTTTCAAGGCAACGCGAGAACAAGAAGTACGCAGGTGTTAAATCTCATAAGGGAATTCGAGCTCCAGAAGATGAAAGAATCTGAGACTGTCAAGGAGTATGTAGACAGGCTTTTGAGCATTGTTAACCGAGTGAAGCTTCTTGGAGAGCAGTTTTCTGACAGAAAGATTGTGGAGAAAATTCTGGGGACCTTACTTGAGAAGCTTGAAGCCAAGATATCTGCTTTGGAGGAGTCTAGAGATCTTGCAGAGATCTCATTGGCAGAACTTTTAAATGCTTTGCAGGCACAAGAGCAAAGGAGACAAATTAGAGAGGAGGGGTCTATTGAAGGTGCTTTACAAGCAAAGTTGCAAATCTATAAAAGTGGTAAAGACAAGAAGACAAAATGGAGGAAACACAAAGGTGCTGGAGCCAACAGCAGTAATGGGAATGCAGGTGCTCAAAACAACAACGGTAATGCTGGAAGGTTTCCTTCATGTCCTCACTGTGGAATGACTAATCACTCTCAGAATAGGTGTTGGAGTAGGCCTGATGTTAAGTGCAATAGATGCAATCAAATGGGCCATGTAGAAAGAATTTGCAAGAGCAGAAGTAACCAGTAGGAAGATGAGGCTAAGGCTGTGGTTCAAGAGGAAGAAAAGCAATTGTTTGTTGCATCTTGTTATGCAAGTAGTAGCTTGAGTGAGGCTTGGCTTATAGATAGTGGTTGTAACATGACGAATGATCCGGAGCTCTTCAAGGTGTTGGATAAGTCTGTCTTCTCCAAAGTCAAAGTTGGCAATGGAGAGTATGTTGAAGTTAAAGGTCGAGGGACCATAGCTATTGAAAGTGTTACAGGTACTAAACAAATCAATGATGTTTTATATGTACCTAGGATTGACCAAAATTTGCTAAGTGTTGGACAGCTTCTTAAGAAAGGGTTTAAGGTGTTTTTTGAGAACAAGAGGTGTATCATTAAAGATGCGGAGGATCAGGAGCTGTTTACTATAAAGTTGAGAGGCAAGTGCTTTTCACTAGATCTCATGGAAGAGGAACATGCTACATATCAAATTTCATTAAACAATGCAGTGACATTGCATAAGAGATTGGGCCATTTTCACCATCAAGCACTCTTGTTTATGTAGAAGCATGAGTTGGTACAGGGCCTACCTCCACCGGAAAATCACTTACCAAGCTGCAAAGCTTGTCAGTATGGCAAGCAAAATAGGTTGCCATTCCCTCAGAAATCCTGGAGAGCCTCACAGAAATTGCAACTTGTGCATACTGACCTTGGAGGACCACTGAAGACTCCATCACTTAAAAGAAGCAGGTATTATATTGTTTTTATAGATGATCTGACAAGAATGTGTTGGATTTATTTTTTAAGGTTCAAGTCTGAAGTGGCTGGAGTGTTCTGGAGATACAAGGCTTTTGTGGAGAACCAAAGTGGCTACAAGATGCAAATATTAAGGTCAGACAATGGGAAGGAGTACACCTCAACTCAATTCAATCAATTTTGTGAAGAAGCAGGCATTGAACACCAACTGACAGCCCCCTATACTCCATAACAAAATGGAGTAAGTGAAAGAAAAAATAGATCGATCATGGAAATGACAAGGTGCATGTTGCATGAGAAGGGAATGCCTAAAAATTTTTGGGTAGAGGCTGCTAGTACTGCTGTTTTCCTCTTAAACAGGCTGCCAACAAGGGCTTTGGAAAATAAAACTCCTTTTCAAGTCTGGTATGGATTTAAACCCTCCTTATTGAATCTAAAAATATTCGGTTGTTTGTGCTTTTCACATGTTCCTCAAGTGAAGAGGGACAAGCTTGATAAAAGGGCAGAGCCTGGAGTGTTTATTGGTTACAGCAGCTCTTCTAAAGCTTACAGGATTTTCCAACCACAAATTGGAAAAATTCTGACTAGCAGAGATGTTGTGTTCATGGAAGATGAACAATGGAATTGGGATCAAACCAAGGAGGAGCAAAGTTCAGAAATTCTATGTACTCATGATAGCAACATAGATCATCCACCTATAAGAGGAACTAGATATCTCTCAGACATCTATCAAAAATGTAACGTTGCTGTGATGGAGCCTGCAGAGTACAAAGATGCTGAGAAACACCAAAGATGGGTGGAAGCCATGAAGGAAGAAATGAGAATGATTGAGAAAAACCATACTTGTGAGCTTGTTGATAAACTCCAAGATAGGAAAATTATTGGAGTTAAATGGGTGTTTAGAACCAAATACAACTCAGATGGTTCAGTTAACAAGTATAAAGCAAGACTTGTTGTTAAAGGGTATGCTCAAGTGTTTGGTGTGGACTTCTCAGAGACCTTTGCACCTATTGCAAGGTTAGATACCATCAGAATGTTACTGGCATTAGCTGCACAGAGGGGTTGGAAAGTGTATCAACTGGATGTAAAGTCAGCATTCTTAAATGGTTTCTTGCAGGAGGAGATTTATGTTGAGCAACCAGAGGGATTTGTGGTGAAAGGTCATGAGAACAAGGTGTATCTACTAAGGAAGGCTTTGTATGGTCTTAAGCAGGCACCAAGAGCTTGGTACAGCCGAATTAATGATCACTTGTTAAGCCTAGGCTTTGATAAGAGCCTTAGTGAAGCCACTTTGTATGTGAGAAAGGTGGATTCTGACTTAATTATTGTATCTGTTTATGTTGATGATTTGCTTATCGCAGGAGGAAATGAAAAACTTATTAAAGACTTCAAGACAGAAATGTTCAAGGTGTTTGAAATGACTGATCTGGGCCTGATGTCTTATTTTCTTAGAATAGAGGTGAGGCAAAGGCAACAAGACATTTTTATTTGTCAGACTAAATATGCAAAGGAGATTCTAAAGAAGTTTCATATGGAGAGTTGCAAGGCTACAACAACTCCTATGGTTCAGAAGGAGAAGGTCAGCAAGGATGATAGGTCTAACAAAGTTGATGAAGGTTTATATCGAAGCTTAATAGGCTGCCTGATCTATCTCACAGCAACCAGGCCTGATATCTTATATGCTGTGAGTATGCTCTCAAGATTTAAGCACTGTGCTAGTGAAGTGCATCTTCAAGCAGCAAAGAGAGTTGTCAGATATGTGAAGGGCACTGCCAACTGTGGTGTTAAGTTCTCACAGTGTTCAGTCCTTGAATTTCATGGCTTCTCAGATAGTGACTGGGCAGGTTCAATTGATGATATGAGGAGCACAACTGGATTTTGTTTCAGTTTTGGTTCAGGGGTGTTCTCATGGTGCTCTAAGAAGCAAGAGTTGGTTGCTCAAAGTACTGCAGAAGCTGAGTTTGTGGCTGCTACAGCAGCTGTCAATCAAGCTCTTTGGTTTAAGAAAGTGCTAATTGATCTGCATATGGAGCAGAACGAAGGCACAAAGATTTTGGTTGACAACAAGGCAGCAATTTCCATTTCAAATAATCCTGTCTTTCATGGCAGGACAAAGCATTTTAAAATCAAATTATATTTCCTAAGGGAAATACAAAAGGAAGGAGAAGTATGTTTGGCTTACTGCAGAATCGAAGATCAAGTTGCTGATATATTTACCAAGGCCTTGTCCAAAACCAGGTTTGAGTTTCTAAGAGAAAAGCTAGGAATGTGTAGCATCTGATCCAAGGAGGAGTGTTGAGAATATGTCTCAGCTGCTGATTTGGCATGATGAGGTGGCTGCTGATTTGGTCAAAATTGCTGCATAATGGATGGTTGCTGATTTGGTGCTGAAAGTTGTTAAACATGTGTATTTCCAGATTTAGTCTTTGAAGTAGAGTTGGTCATGTGCTTGTTTTTAGGAATACGTTATCTTAGTAGTGAATAAGTTGTTAGTGGAGTGATGTTCAGTGTTTTTAGCAAGTTTGTTACGTATTTCTGTTACAAAATCCTGTATATATTTGCTGCTGATTCAATAAAGATTGTGGTAGTTTGCAGTCTGTATTAAGCCTTTTTTTGCATTATAGTTGCTCAGATTTTGTTCTTGCACAATTAAGACTACAGTCTATGTGATTTACATGGCATGGACACGCTTCCAACTGGCACTATCCCTTCTAATGTTTTTTGCAGGGCTGATCAAGTATGGAGAAAGGACATGGGCACTCAGGTCGGCAAGTAGTGAACACCTTTGAGAGTCCGTCCTAAAGCACCAAACTATCCGCTGAGACTTTCACAAGTTTTACAGGGATTTCAGAATCAAGGACAGTGAGGGATACATAATGGAGAAAGAAACGTATGAAGAAATGGTTAATCAGCAAGTTCTGCCTAAAGGTGATATCCAACCTCGCTCATTATTAGTTCAAGACTATGGTTACTAGACCTAACCAAATGTCTTTTCTTGGACTCGATGTTAACTTTTGGAGAAAAAGAAGAAACCCATTCCATTTTCAAACAATTGTCTTTCAAAAGTGCTTTTCAAGTAATTGAAATAAAGCTTGGATTGATCTATGATTTGATGTACACTAAGGCACCTCTTCTCTATACTCCTTTGGGTCTATGCCTGCGTCTCATCACTTTTTTTGTTACCTTTATAACTTTGCTTTCATTCATTGTCCTTGTTGACAGGCATAGCTTCACTAAAACTGATCTTCTCATAACATTATGTAGGTTTTTTGGTCTGATTATGCTAAGAGAAAGAAGGTTAACATGCATGAAAGAGAGAATTGAAAGGAGAGGAAAAATTATGTTCAAAGTGTACTCTGTTTTCGTTCATAAACAGAGAAATATAAAGACAAGTTTTCATCACTATTACAACCACTCTACAGTGAGAACTTTTTTCAAATACAAATACAATCTAACTAATACACATTTATAATGACATATGCTGGCCTAAATCACTGGCTGTCCTCACCTAAACTATCACATTTATATTCAAAAATAACCAAAAAAGGGCATTTGACAAACAGCCTACAACCAGCTCAAATATGGCGCCAAACATTCAAACTTGAATTGTAAAATAGTTTCCAGCAAAATATCACATACTTTAACACTCCTCCTTGATATTCTTGCTGGAAACTCCAAGTCTGAATCTTAATTATTCAAACTTGGATTTGCCTAAGGACTTAGTCATTATATCTGCCACTTGTTCTTCTCCTTTACAATGAATCAGCTTTACTTCACCATTTTTCTTAGCCTCTCTCACTGCATGGTATTTGATTTTGATGTGCGCAATTGTTGATTGGTTGTCACAATACAGCACATTAGCCTCAGTATGTTCCAGCTTTAAATCCTTCAGAATTTTTCTCAGCCAAACCAATTGGTTGGCTACAGCAGCAACAGCAACATATTCTGCTTCTGAAGTTGATTGTGCTACAACTTCCTGCTTTTTTGAGATCCGGCTTATAGCACCTGCATTTAAGAAAAAAAAACATATCCAGAGGTACTCTTCATATCATCCAAAGAGCCACCTTAATCACTGTTGGTGAAACTATACAAGCTCAGGTTTTCAGCTTTCTTGAACCAAATTCCTAGGTCTGGACAGCCTCTAACATACCTAAAAACCCTTTTTGCTGCTTGCAAATGCAGCTCACTTGGTCCATTCATAAATCTGGAAAGTAAGCTTGCTGCATACATGATGTTAGGCCTTGTTGCAGCCAAGTACAACAAACACCCAACAATGCTTCTGTACTT